CATGCCCTCGGTGTGCGCAACGGAAACCGCCGGCGCGGAGTCTAACCCACCCTTGCAATCGATCAAAGTGTCCAGAATAAATGAGCTTGTCGCGCTGGACATTTTGGGCCCATTTCCCGCCACCCCCAGGGGCAATAGGTATTTGTTGACAGGTGTCGAGTATTTTACGCGCTGGCCTATGGCCTGGCCCCTTACCAACCAGTCGGCAGCAGCCATCGTGGAGGCCTTTGTTCAGGGATACGTCCTGGACAAAGGTGCTCCGGAGCTGCTGCTGACCGACCAGGGCAGAAATTTTTCCGGTAAATTACTCAAACAAGTCTGTGACCTCTTAGGCACGAAGAAAATTCGTACCTCCCCGTATCACCCGCAAACTGACGGAATGGTCGAGCGCCTGCATCGCACCATTACGTCAATGATGTCACAGCAGGTCTCGGACTCGCAGACTGACTGGGACCTGCATATTCAAGGGGTCTTGGCGGCATACCGGATGGCACCCCATGCAGCTACGGGATTTTCCCCCTTTTACCTCATGTACGGTCGCGAACCCGACCCGCCTGTTCGCGCCCAGCTGCAGATCCCCGACCCGCAAGGGAAAACTAAATTTTCTGACCACGTCAAATTTAATCTGGCCAAATTAACAGAGGCGCGGGATGCTGCTATGCTAAACTCGGACCTCCGTCAAAAGGCGAATGAGCGCCTCAGGCTGGGTCGGGCGCACGTGATACAGTGGAAGCCGGGGGACAAGGCATGGTTGCACTGTCCCCAAGTGCCCCTGGCTACCTCCCCTAAGCTGGCGCGGCCGTGGCGGGGCCCTGTGGAGGTGGTCGAAGTTTTGCGACCACAGTGCGTGCGCATTAAATGGGTGAAGCGGCGATGGTTCGTGCACCCCTCTAGGTTAAAACCCTTCGTTGCGGTACACAAACCCACTTCACACATGCGTGGCCAAACGTGGGGGGGGGGGGTCGACCGTCTCATTGGGTCCGTCTCCGTCGTTCTCACCTAATGCCTTGCCGGCCGTGCCACCTCCAGGTGCATCAGGACTGACGGGCTCACGCCCGACCACCCCTCCTGGGGATACCGACGGTCGCGCGGCATCGGATGAGGTCTTACGCCGGGACGGACAATTGCCACCTGACGGTCCGCCACCCGGGGTTACCCCGTGTGAGGGGCCCGCTGCAAGGACGCGCGCAAAAATGCGCAGACTGTTATGAGGCCGGAAGATGTGTACATAGGTTGTGTTCATTGTGTGTTGTGTGGGTGGTGTGTTCCCTGCCCATTGAAATGTACATACGTTGGGTTCACCTGGTGTTGTGTGTATGGTGGGTTCCCTGCAAATTGTATATAGGTTGTTTTTTTACGGAATTCGTATTTATTCAAGGGGGGGTGCGTCGGGTTGTTTTCTCTTCTTGCTGTTGCATTTTGTTGTGTTCTTGTTGCTGTTCTTGTTATTGTTGAAAATTAGTGAGGCACACGCGCGGTCAAGGTGTAAATGCACTTTTATTGTCATTTTTGTATGTTGGCAGCCGGGACGGCTGCAAGCTATGCGGGGGGGGGGGGTGATGTAGGGGTGTTAAAGAGAGGGCCCGTTATGCATGGCAGCCTATGGAAAACAAACACAGTGGGCGGGGCTACGTAAGTGCACGAGCAAGTGCCCTCTACGACGTCCGAGCCAGACACCCTGGGGGGGGGCTGGTTCGAACGTTATGATCCCCCGGGGCCCCACCCCTCAGGGAGGGGTTGGGTATAAAAGGGGATGTTCAAAGGGCTCAAGGCAGTTATGTTTAAGCTAAGGGAAGAAGATTGAAGACGTCTTAGATAGAGCCCTGGACTCCCCTGGTTCGATGTCCTTTTCAGGGCCGGACAGGATTGAGCCAGCGGCGTGGTCCCGAAAGCCAGAGCCGGTGCTCTTGTAAGAGCTGGTCTGGAACTCCGGGTACCGGGCCCGACTTACCAGTGTCGGGCCAGTTAGCCTCCCCTAGCCCATTAGTGGAGGATTCGGGGCTAGGACAGAGTTAGCTAGGGGCGTACCCCGAGTTATACGGGTGAGGGGGCCGATACCCCCTCGAGTGTGTATATGCCCACTGTCATGTTGTGAATAAACATACGTGTGCCTCAACCTCGGCGTCAAGCGTCTTCAGCGGTACTTCACTTGCTTAGGACCGTGCAAATCTTTCGCTCGTGTTTTACCCCACTTCCCGTGATCCAATCGAGCTGACATTTTCCACACAGACTCGTTGTGTGTGACAATTAAATATTTAATTACTAATTGCTTAATACTGGCAGACAATCATCTGACCCATAGATTGCAGCCATCTCAAACCAGAAGACGAGAGGACTCTAGCCACCACGCATATAAAGGATTTAGAGTGAAAAACTTAGTTTTTACGGGTTTACTTGTTATTATTTTATTACTTCCCTTCTACGTGACTTTACCGAAAGAACCAAGAAGATGAATCCCTGCAGTCACGAAAGCTTTAAATCGAAATTTGTCTGAGCTTATTTTTGTTGGGACGAAAGCCCTTCTATGGAAGGTCGTCTCATTTTCACTCACCCTAGGCGACAACACCATTTTAACCTCACCCACTGTCAGAAATATTGGCATCATCTTCGATTCCTCCCTCAACTATGAGTCCCACATTTACCACATCAAAAAAATGTGTCATTATGCCATCTCCACATCATCTCCCGCATCCGATCACTTCTGTCCCTCTCTGATGCTGAGAAACTTATCCACTCCTTCAATACATCGCGCCTTGATGACTATAACTCATCACTTGCCGTTGCTCCCGCCAATCTCCTCTCACAGCTTCAACTCATTCAAAATGCCGCAGCCAGAGTCCTCACCTGCACAGACAGCAAAGAACACATCACCTCCTGTTATATGCATCCTACGCTGGCGCCGCATAAAATCTAGGATTGACTACCGTCGACCCTTCTGCATCGCGACTTTCCCCATTGCAGTTTCGATATATCGCGGGGTCGGCACAAGAAATTAAATGGGAATTTTTTGGGTGTTTTTGGGAGTTTTTCGAAAGCCGCAGACGACACGCGAAGGCCAGCAGATGACACACAAAAAGTTTAGTAACTCATAAATGCAGAATATATTTGCACAGCACTGTATAATATTATTGTATTTTATATTTTAATAATATGCACCAATCTTTTTTAAAGCAAATTTTTGTAAAAGTTAAAGTTTGCCAAAAGAACACGAAAGCCAGCAGACGACACGCAAAGGCTGGAAATGTCGAGATAACTTAAACAGTTTAGAAACTCAGAAATGCTGAAAATATATGTATTTTATTGTTTAATACCATAAATATACGCAATTTTTTTCAAGAAAATTTTTAGACTCTTTGGTTCTTTCGGTAAAGTCACATAGATAGAAAATGAATAGATCACGACGTTTCGATCGCAACACAAGCAACCGTCATCAGGTGAGATAAACACAGCAGCAGAACTGCTGACGCAGGAGTCCGGCATCAATTCTCTTTTCTTCCTTTATCAGCAGTTCTCCTGCTGTGTTTGTCTCACCTGATGACGGTTGCTTGTGTTGCGATCGAACCGCCATGATCTCTTCATTTTCTATCTACGTGACTTTACCGAAAGAACCAAAAAGTATGGATTCCTGCAGTCACGAAAGCTTAAAATCAAGTAAAATTTTGTCAAAAGTTAGCTTGCGAAAAGAACTGCGGTTCTACGCGCTCACAGCCCCCCCCCGAACCCCCCGGCTGGAGGTGCTCGCTTCGCTTGCCAAGGGGACCAAGGCGACCAAAAACTTTTACGCGGTTTTATCAGATCACGGGGGGCCTGTACCCCTAACCCCCGCGATGTGGAAGGGTCGACTGTACGTGGCTTAGCACCTGGCTACATCCTCCAACTCCTTAACTGTTACACCCCGGCCCACGCCCTACTATCCTCTGACACCCATAAACTTGTTGTGCCTCCCACCAACCTCTGCTCCCTGGTTAATAGGGGGCCTCAGTTGCCGCTAGGCTATGGAACACACTGCCCATTGAGATGAGATCTGCTGAGTCAATGTCCACCTTCAAATCTCAATTAAAAACGCATCTATTTAGAATCTTGCTTGAATCCCCTCCTATACTCACCCACCATATTCCGTCCCTTGAATGCTCTCTGTGATGCTGCTCTTATGTTCTATACGTACGCCTTTTGTTTTTTTTTCATACAAAAGTTATATCTTTTTGAGCATGTGTAATATTGAATAGGGTTACTGTTCCGTGCTTTGAGCGCGGGAAAAGCGCTATATAAATAAAACAAGGCAATATATACATTTTTAATTTTAAATAATGATTTAGTCATTATCTGGCGTATTTGAACGTCCAGTGACCCTTCCCCCCGAAGTCGCCGGATAATCGACGATCTACCGTCATTTAAGTTGTCAACCTGCTCACTAAGGTGCGCTTTGGGGCGGCCGATTACAGCGATCCCTCGCCAACCACGGGGGTTTGACAACCACCGATTTGAGTACCCACGCGTAATACCGCATCCCGTGCACCGTGTGGCCAAGCACGGTGCACGGTCTCGCGTAGCCGCGGTCTCAAATCTCAAGCATCCACGCCACCAGCGGCGCATCAAGCGCGTGTTGTGCAGCAGTGGAGAGACCCTGGCTGATGATGTCGATGGTGCATTAGATGGGGGGGAGGCTGGGGTATTGAGGCATTCATCCAGCAGTTTAGAAACCCTGGCTGATGATGCCAATGGATGGCGTTTCCCAGCGGAAATTTACTTGTTACCTCACTGGAAGTTGCCTTGTTACCCCCCCTCCCCCCACCGGAAGTAGCCTCGTTACCCCCCCCCCCCACCGGAAGTCGCCTAGTTACCTCACCGGACGTTGCCTAGTTATCCCACCGGACGTTGCCTAGTTACCCCCCCCCCCCACCGGAAGTTGTCTCGTTACTTCACCGGAAGTTGCCTCGTTATCCCCCCCCCCCACCGGAAGTCGCCCCACCGGACGTTGCCTAGTTACCCCCCACCGGAAGTTGTCTTCACAGTTGGGCGACTGCTGTGCTATTTTTTTTCTCGGTTCAGAAGCGGCGGAGTGGATTCGGTTCCCTCTCTCTCTGTGTGGCTCTCTCCTCTCGCCCCCACACACTCTCTCTCTGTGTGGCTCTCTCCTCTCGCCCCCACACACTCTCTCTCTGTGTGGCTCTCTCACCTCGCTCCCTCTCGCTATCTCCCCCCACCCACTCTCTCTGTGGCACTCTCCTCTCGCTCTCTAAGCTCCCTCTCCTCTCGCTCCCCCCACACGCACACTCTCTCTGTGGCTCTCTCTCTGTGTGGCTCTCTCCTCTCGCTGGCTCGCAGTTCAAGTGTTCAAAGTTTCCACAGTCGGGAAGTCTTCTAGCTTTCGAACCGAACACAGCAACAACAACAACCACCACCACCCACATCTCCCAATGGACGCGAGAAAGACGGCGATTCCCGGGAGCGTCCTCAACGATTTGTGCAGGCGAGACTCGCACACTGTACTACATACACTGCACTATATACACTGTATACTGCACTATACATACTGTACTATAAACACTGCATATTGTACTATACACACTGTACTATATACACTGTATACTGCACTATAATACTGTACTATAAACACTGCATATTGTACTATACACACTGCACTATACATACTGTACTATAAACACTGCATATTGTACTATACACACTGTACTATATACACTGTATACTGCACTATACATACTGTACTATAAACACTGCATATTGTACTATACACACTGTACTATATACACTGTATACTGCACTATAATACTGTACTATAAACACTGCATATTGTACTATACACACTGTACTATATACACTATATACTGTACTATACACTGCACACTATATTATGCACACTGCACTATATACGCTGTACTACACACTGTATACTGTACTATACACACTGTACTACACACTGTATACTGTACTATACACTGCATACTGTACTATACACTCCATACTGTACTATACACACGACTATACACACTGCACACACTGTACTATACACACTGTATACTGTACTATACACACTACATACTGCACTATACATACTGTACTATAAACACTGCATATTGTACTATACACACTGTACTATATACACTGTATACTGCACTATACATACTGTACTATAAACACTGCATATTGTACTATACACACTGTACTATATACACTGTATACTGCACTATAATACTGTACTATAAACACTGCATATTGTACTATACACACTGTACTATATACACTATATACTGCACACTATATTATGCACACTGCACTATATACGCTGTACTACACACTGTATACTGTACTATACACACTGTACTACACACTGTATACTGTACTATACACACTACATACTGCACTATACATACTGTATACTGTACTATACACACTGCAGATACTATACCACACTGCATTACTACACACATGTACCACACTGCAGATACTACGCATACTACACACACACATAAGTGTACCACACTGCAGACTGTACTATATACAGTGAGGGCAAAAAGCATTTGATCCCCTGCTGATTTTGTACGTTTGCCGACTGACAAAGAAATGTTCAGTCTATAATTTTAATGGTAGGTTTATTTGAACAGTGAGAGACAGAATAACAACAACAAAATCCAGAAAAACGCATGTCAAAAATGTTATAAATTGATTTGCATTTTAATGAGGGAAATAAGTATTTGACCCCCTCTCAATCAGAGAGATTTCTGGCTCCCAGGTGTCTTTTATACAGGTGGACGGACTTCTAAGCTTCTTTATGGCACACACTGTTTATTGTCTTAATACACAGTCCCTATCACACAAAGGGGTATACGGTCCCCTCACCCGTTACCCTGAGGAGGTACAGCCTCCGGACCTTATACAACTCCACACTCACGCTTAGCTCCTATTCTAAGGAGGTACGCTGACCCAGCGCTGGCCCGGCGGGTCCCCGACCTCTGGTCGCTCAGGATCTTCGCCCTCACAAGGGCGGGAAGGCTGGGAGCCAGGGTCCTTGCTATCTAGGACCTAATCTCTCCCCGACCACTGGTTACACTGAGCCCTAGCCCTGATAAGGGCTGCAGGGCTTGGTCCAGGGTCCTAGATGTCTTCGGCCGACTTGGGTCTTCGTGTAGCAGAACTGGCCCAGAGCTTCTCAGCGCTCTGGCTTTGATACCGTTTCGTGGCCGGGTTGTCCAATCCCCGGCCACCTTGTGGAACCTTCCGATTGGTCCTTCCCAATCTGGCGTTTGGATCCCACCTTACCTTATTTGACCCTGACCGTTCGAACGAGCGGGAAAACCCTGTTTATGATTCGCTCTCTCACAGCTTGCGAACAGCGAGTAGTTATCACCACTACACAGGTAACGAGCTGAGATTAGGAGCACACTCTTAAAGGGAGTGGTCCTAATCTCAGCTTGTTACCTGTATAAAAGACACCTGTTCACAGAAGCAATCAATCAGATTCCAAACTCTCCACCATGGCCAAGACCATAGAGCTCTCCAAGGATGTCGGGGACAAGATTGTAGACCTGCACAAGGCTGGAATGGGCTACAAGACCATCGCCAAGCAGCTTGGTGAGAAGGTGACAACAGTTGGTGTGATTATTCGCAAATGGAAGAAACACAAAAGAACTGTCAATCTCCCTCGGCCTGGGGCTCCATGCATGATCTCACCTCGTGGAGTTGAAATGATCATGAGAACGGTGAGGAATCAGCCCAGAACTACACGGGAGGATCTTGTCAATGATCTCAAGGCAGCTGGGACCATAGTCACCAAGAAAACAGTTGGTAACACACTACGCCGTGAAGGACTGAAATCCTGCAGCGCCTGCAAGGTCCCCCTGCTCAAGAAAGCACATATACATGCCCGTCTGAAGTTTGCCAATGAACATCTGAATGATTCAGAGGACAACTGGGTGAAAGTGTTGTGGTCAGATGAGACAAAAATGGAGCTCTTTAGCATCAACTCAACTCGCCGTGTTTGTAGGAGGAGAGATGCTGCCTATGACTCCAAGAACACCATCCCCACCGTCAAACATGGAGGTGGAAACGTTATTCTTTGGGGGTGTTTTTCTGCTAAGGGGACAGGACAACTTCACCGCATCAAAGGGACGATGGACGGGGCCATGTACCTTCAAATCTTGGGTGAGAACCTCCTTCCCTCAGCCAGGGCATTGAAAATGGGTCGTGGATGGATATTCCAGCATGACAATGACCCAAAACACACGGCCAAGGCAACAAAGGAGTGGCTCAAGAAGAAGCACATTAAGGTCCTGGAGTGGCCTAGCCAGTCTCCAGACCTTAATCCCATGGAAAATCTGTGGAGGGAGCTGAAGGTTCGAGTTTCCAAACGTCAACCTCGAAACCTTAATGACTTGGAGAAGATCTGCAAAGAGGAGTGGGTCAAAATCTCTCCTGAGATGTGGGCAAACCTGGTGGCCAACTACAAGAAACGTCTGGCCTCTGATTGCCAACAAGGGTTTTGCCACCAAATACTAAGTCATGTTTTGCAGAGGGGTCAAATACTTATTTCCCTCATTAAAATGGATTTTGTTGTTGTTATTCTGTCTCTCACTCTTCAAATAAACCTACCATTAAAATTATAGACTGATAATTTCTTTGTCAGTGGGCAACTGTACAAAATCAGCAGGGAATCAAATACTTTTTTCTCTCACTGTACACGTGTACCACACTGCAGATACACGCTGAATACTAAACATACACGTGTACTACACTGCATACCATACACACTGCATACTATACACACACGTGTACTACACTGCATACCATACACACTGCATACTATACACACACGTGTACTACACTGCATATACACATTGCAGAATACACACACGTGTACCACTGCAGACTATACACACATTTGCACTACTGCAGACTACATGTGTACCACGCTGCAGATACACTCTCCTGACATTTGGAAAACCGGCAACCGATTGTGAAGACCGTTACCAACTTACACCAGCTACCCTTTAACAATCCTGGTTCTACATAGCCCGCACTTTATCCACACAAGCACCTATCTGACCTCCGCTGCTGCACCCCGCGCATGTGAGCTCGTGTCTAATGTCTCGTGTGTACGTGTGTACGTGCGTGTGTACGTGTGTACGTGCGTGTGTGCGTGTTTGTGTGTGTATGTGTGTGTGTATGTGTGTGTGTGTGCGCGCGCCGCGTTTTTCCCTGCAGCCGCTTTATCCTGCACGTGCCGAGTGAGGAGCGAGAGGCCCCGGTGCGACTCTGCTTTCAGGTCCGTGTGAATCCCTTGTGGTCGAATCCCTTCGGTGGAATCCCTCCAGTCGAATCTCTCCGGTCGAATCTCTCCGGTTGAGTCCCTACGGTTAGATCCCTATGGTGGAATCCCTCCGGTTGAGTCCCTACGGTTAGATCCCTACGGTCGAATCCCTACAGTTGAATTCCTACGGTCAATTCCCTACGGTTGCGTGCAACCGACTACCGCCCGGGTGGCGATATTTAAGCAGCACACGAGGTACTCATTTGAGGCCGAGTCTACCTTGGGGAGGCCTACGACCGGGTTCACTCTTTACCATGCGGATGGCTGGGGTCTCCCTCTCGCGTGAAGTCCAAGTAAAACCAGTGGGCCAGTTCGACCTACACACGGCACGCGCACGCCCAGGTAGGCAGACATCGTACGTAGAATACTCAGGCAGCAAAGATACAGTGTGTAAACACACAGTGTATACAGGTAGTCCTCTACTTACGATGGAGATGCGTTACGACGACTCCATCGTAAGTCAAAGATATCGTAACTCGAAGATGGCCTAGCCTACCCAGGAGTCTTAAAGAATGGTGATAATTTGGCAAAACGGAGCAATTTTCAGTACCGTAATGTATAAACTATATACTGTATGTATTTATTAATTACAATACTGTATTGCACAGTAAAATGTAAAGTAAAAAAACAAGGTAAATTCTTAGCCAACCTATATGAGCTGCAATTTAATAGAAAGGCGGGAGATGTATACATCCCGGCAGCGTCCCAACGTGCAGTATCGTACCTCGTACGCTGCTGCGTTGGCCTGTCGCGCGAAGTTTAAAATATTTTACAATTTTGTCGTATCGCTATCGCCATCATAAGATCGAAATATCGTAAGTCGGACCATCATAACTTTGGGACTATCTGCACACACAAATAACAATGTATACACACCGTGTATACACACGGGTGGGAGCGGCGGTGCACGCGTTTTTTCGTCGCCACGATCCACCAACCCCCCCCCCCCCTCGCTGCCTCCACACGGCTGGGTCACAGTGCCTCGTGCGTGGCATGTGGACATTTCGGCAACCGATTGTGCGTGATTGCGCAACCGGTTGCTCACTAGTACGTGCGTGTGTTTCTGTGTTCAACTTCTGTCGCACCGTACATAGCCAACTGCGCTAATTGGAGGTGCGGGGGAAGGACAACAAACTAAGCACAGCAACAAGTAGTTCTCAATGTAGTATCATGGTGTGGTGTATAGTGCAGTGTATAGTCGTGTGGTGTATAGTAGTGTGGTGTATAGTATAGTGTATAGTAGTGTATAGTAGTGTGGTGTATAGTGTCATGTATAGCGTATAGTAGTGTTGTGTGTGTATAGAAGTGTGGTGTATAGTAGTGTATATTGTAGTGTATAGTAGTGTAGTGTTTCGTAGTGTAGTATATAGTAGTGTTGTGTATAGTATAGCGTATAGTAGTGTGGTGTTTCGTAGTGTGGTGTATAGTAGTGTTGTGTATAGTCCTGTCGTGTATAGTAGTGTGGTGTATAGTAGTGTTGTGTGTAGTGTAGTGTGTAGTGTAGTGTATAGCTGCTGCGGGGATGAGTGGAGTTAGCGTGACGATGGTTTAACGCCCCTTGGCAAGATCAGCAGCAAAGGTGTTGCTGTGGCGGTTCATTTGTGGTGGGCACTTTGTATGTGTCTCTAATGAGAGCGACCTTATGACGCCGCATTCGTTCGGGCAAACCAGACGCCAACGTGGCTGGGCGAGCACTGGGAAGGATGGCGGGTGTCGGAAGGGTTTGCGGACGATTTGAGCCGCACGAGACCTCGTGGCGATTTGATGGCGGAGCCGCTTGTGCGGTGTTTCGGGGGTGAGTGCGGCTGACGCTAAGGAAGCCGGCGATCCAAGACCGAAGCAGGAGGAGGATTTATCCACAATTCCAGCCGTCGCCTGACGAGGCGAAACGTCACGGTTTACTCAGGTTGTAAATGTGTGCTTGGGCTACACCCATTTCAAACCTTTTAAAACAGTCTGCCTCAGCAGCAGACTGTGCTTTCCCACCTGATGATGGACGCTTGTGTTGTGCCCAAAACGTCGTGATTTATTTTATTTTGTACCTACGTGACTTTACGGAAAGAACCAAAGATTATGGATTCCTGCAGTCACGAAAGCTTCAAATCAAGATTGTGTGCTGTGGGTTTACTCTCCAAAAAACAAACAACCGGATAGTTCTCACTAATTGGCATGTCTCAAATAACATAACAAAAACTTGACTATTGGCTGCGTCTGGTGGTGGTGACAGATTTAACGACGCATTTATATTTACGCGATCTACCCCACTTAAACCTCTGTTGTGGCGAGGAGATGTTAACTACCTCGCCTGGTATACAGGAGGGCGTGAGTTCGATCCTGACCCCGATGACGCCTGCCTGCTGTATATTTGAAATTTGCGCGTTCTGCCTGTGGATGCGTGCTAATTTAAGCACTGGAGTCCATGCATTGCGAGTAATGGCTGGGTCCGGAGTTTCGCTTCGTACCAGTTGCAGTCGACACATTTCAAAGCTAAACTATTAACGGTTTGTATTTTACCAGGTAATGCCCCCACTGTGCTTCGTAGCTTTTTTTAGAAGCGACAACGGAGGGCAGAGGAGCGACGCTCACAACAATGAGCGGAGCGCCGGGCGGCTAAAATGCAGCAAGTTGGCATAGTCGGGGGCACAGCTGGTACATCTGTAATAAAAGACTCGGACGCTTCTCTCTGACTCCGTGTCCTTTATTTGGGTTCTTCGTAATTACCCTCACGGCACTCTCTTAGAGATACTCTGCTTGCAGCCCCCGGCTGCTATCACTATTGTAGCCTCCTTCCTCTCCTTGCAGACTCGCTGCTAACTCCGTGTGCAGACTCCCGCTGCCAACTCCGTATGCAGACCCCCGCTGCCAACTCCGTGTGCAGACTCCCGCTGCCAACTCCGTGTGCAGACCCCCGCTGCCACCTGCAGCCTCCTCGCTGCTCCGGGTCGGTCACCGTTGGCCGACGGTGCCGAACCTCGTTCCCCGCATACGTGGCGATCTCGCCACTCTCCCGCTCTCGCCCTACGTGGCCTACCTCGTTCTTAGTCTCCCGTCACTCCCTCTCCTCTTCCGGTTTCTCTCCCTATAGACCTGACCCCTCTCCCCCACGTGACCTAACTCCTCCCCTCATGACGTCACCTCCGGGAGGTCGTTCACGCCCGCATTACACATCTGCCAGTCGTCTCAGTCAGTCGACCCATGGCACCGCATGTGATAGCCTCAAAGTGCACCTGACCTGGCACAAGCACCTTGGTCACCACCAGTTAGTGGCAAATGGCGGCTATTGTTGATGTGTGTGTGTTTGTATACACTGCATATATGCACTGTTTATGCACTGTGTGTGTACAGTGAGGGGAAAAAAGTATTTGATCCCCTGCTGATTTTGTACATTTGCCCACTGACAAAGAAATGATCAGTCTATAATTTTAATGGTAGGTTCATTTGAACAGTGAGAGACAGAATAACAACAACAAAATCCAAAAAAACGCATGTCAAAAATTTTATAAATTGGATTTGCATTTTAATGAGGGAAATAAGTATTTGACCCCCTCTCAATCAGAAAGATTTCTGGCTCCCTGGTGTCTTTTATACAGGTAACGAGTTGAGATTAGGAGCACACTCTTAAAGGGAGTGCTCCTAATCTCAGCTTGTTACCTGTATAAAAAGGGAGTGCTCCTAATCTCAGCTTGTTACCTGTATAAAAGACACCTGTTCACAGAAGAAATCAATCAATCAGATTACAAACTCTCCACCATGGCCAAGACCAAAGAGCTCTCCAAGGATGTTAGGGGCAAGATTGTAGACCTAGACAAGGCTGAAATGGGCTACAAGACCATCGCCAAGCAGCTTGGTGAGAAGGTGACAACAGTTGGTGCGATTATTCACAAATGGAAGAAACACAAAAGAACTGTCAATCTCCCTCGGCCTGGGGCTCCATGCAAGATCTCACCTCGTGGAGTTGCAATGATCATGAGAACGGTGAGGAATCAGCCCAGAACTACACGGGAGGATCTTGTCAATGATCTCAAGGCAGCTGGGACCATAGTCACCAAGAAAACAGTGGTAACACTACGCCGTGAAGGACTGAAATTCTGCAGCGCCCGCAAGGTCCCCCTGCTCAAGAACACACATATACATGCCCGTTTGAAGTTTGCCAATGAACATCTGAATGATTCAGAGGACAACTGGGTGAAAGTGTTGTGGTCAGATGAGACCAAAATGGAGCTCTTTGGCATCAACTCAACTCGCTGTGTTTGGAGGAGGAGGAATGCTGCCTATGACCCCAAGAACACCATCACCACCGTCAAACATGGAGGTGGAAACATTATGCTTTGGGGGTGTTTTTCTGCTAAGGGGACAGGACAACTTCACCGCATCAAAGGGACGATGGATGGGGCCATGTACCGTCAAATCTTGGGTGAGAACCTCCTTCCCTCAGCCAGGGCATTGAAAATGGGTCGTGGATGGGTATTCCAGCATGACAATGACCCAAAACACATGGCCAAGGCAACAAAGGAGTGGCTCAAGAAGAAGCACATTAAGGTCCTGGAGTGGCCTAGCCAGTCTCCAGACCTTAATCCCATAGAAAATCTGCGTAGGGAGCTGAAGGTTCAAGTTGCCAAACGTCAGCCTCGAAACCTTAATGACTTGGAGAAGATCTGCAAAGAGGAGTGGGACAAAATCCCTCCTGAGATGTGTGCAAACCTGGTGGCCAACTATAAGAAACGTCTGACCTCTGTGATTGCCAACAAGGGTTTTGCCACCAAGTTCTAAGTCATGTTTTACAGAGGGGTCAAATACTTATTTCCCTCATTAAAATGCAAATCAATTTATAAAATTTTGACATGCGTTTTTCTGGATTTTGTTGTTGTTATTCTGTCTCTCACTGTTCAAATAAACCTACCATTAAAATTATAGACTGATAATTTCTTTGCCAGTGGGCAAACGTACAAAATCAGCAGGGGATCAAATACTTTTTTCTCTCACTGTATATACTGTGTGTGTGTTTACACTGTGTGTGTATATATACTCTGCGTTTGTGTGTGTATATACTGTGTGTGTATACACGTATGTTATCTTTGTACTTGCGCGTTCGTGCGTGCTGTGTGTAGATTGAACTGGCCCACTGGTTTTACTTGGACTTCACGCAAGAGGGAGATCCCAGCCTACCGCTGCTCAGCCTCACAGACTTCGCCCGCGCTGATATCCTCTCGCTGCCGTCACCACGCAGTCGCTCACAGTCACTAGACAGAGCGAGTGTCTCACACGGTCACTACACAGAGTGAGTGTCTCACACAGTCACTCACAGTCACTACACAGAGCGATTGTGAGTGTCTCACACGGTCGCAGTTTGTGGTGACGCGGCCCAGCGACAGCTCGTTTAGCCGCTCGTGGCAGGGGTTCGCTGTTCAAGCCCAGCGGCCGCCCTGGTTAAGCCTCTCCCATTTCGATGCCGTACGCTGGCGATGGCTGCTGTCATGACAGTGTTGCTGATGCCGCTGATGATGTTATTGCCGTTATGTGAGCGCTGCTCTTGCTGGTGCGTGTGTTGGCGATGATTCTGCTGCTGCTGAGAGTGTTGCCGATGCGCCACCGTTATGCCGCTGCTGCGGCTGCTGCGGCTGCTGCGGCTGCTGCGGCTGCTGCGGCTGCTGCGGCTGCTGTGGCTGCTGCGCAATTGACGGTGTCACCACCGCCGTCGTCGTTCCCGTTGCTCTCTGGCCTCTCCTCCGTATTTCTGTCTCCGTGTCGTCGTTGTCTCCTTGACGATCCGGCCCCCCCCCCGCCCCGCCGTCCCCTCCACTCTTCGCCCACTGCCCCTTCCTGCTGGGCGGCAACGAGGACGTCGCCTCGGTGCTGCAGGACTGGAAGGAGTACAAGATGGGGGTGCCCACCTACGGCGCCATCATCCTGGACCCCAGCCTGCAGCACGTGAGAGGGGGGCGGCAAGCAAGCACGCACGCACACATACACGCATACACACGCATACACGCACGCATACACGCACGCATACACGCACGCATACACACACGCATACACACACGCACGCATACAGGTACACATACACGCACACATACACGCATACATGCACGCACGCACGCATACACGCACGCATACACTCACGCACGCATGCACGCACGCATACACACACGAGATTTATAAGGGGCACGGAGGTGACCAGTAAGCTCTGAATTGGTCTGTGATAAGGTAGGCACTGATAAGGGATTGACATGTATGTAGTTGTGTAGTGTGTAGTGTAGTGTATAGTAGTGTAGTGTATAGTAGCACACCTGTCAACCCATACATGTATACACCGTGCGTGTGTGTGTGTATACACCATGCGTTTGTGTGTATATATACACCATGCGTTTGTGTGTATATGTAGTGGTGGTATTGACGTGCGCCGGCAGTGATGGATCACGGGGCGCGGGGTTGGGCACGCAGTGTGGGCGTGGCATGGACGCGCGCGCCGGTGGTGAGGCGCGCTCACACAAGCTGGGAAGAGAGGATCGTAGCGAGTGCGCAGTGATTGGTCAGATAAGTGGGTACTCTCAGCGACGTCCGCAGGAGGGGTATAAAGGGGGACGCGCGAGAGCACTCGTGGTCAGTGTTAACCAGTTGAAGACCGAAGACGGGGTGGAGGAGATAGGGGCCCTGTGTGGCTCGGAGCCGAGACTGGGGGGACCGTAGTCCGACGCCCGTGTGGGTCGGGACGGTGGTACCCAGAGCCGAGACGGGCACCCCGGCTGGGTGTGTCCCGGACGGCAACGGGGCGTAAGAGCCCGTGTCAGTACAGCTGAGTGGGTGTTAGTCACCCGTGTAGCTGAGTGGGTGTTAGTCACCCGTGTAGCTGAGTGGGTGTTAGTCACCCGTGTAGCTGAGTGGGTGTTAGTCACCCGTGTAGCTGAGTGGGTGTTAGTCACCCGTGTAGCTGAGTGGGTGTTAGTCACCCGTGTAGCTGAGTGGGTGTTAGTCACCCGTGTAGCTGAGTGGGTGTTAGTCACCCGAGTAGCTGAGTGGGTGTGGGTCACCCGTGTAGCTGAGTGGGTGTGGGTCACCCGTGTAGCTAAGTGGGTGTTGGTCACCCGTGTAACGAAGTCGTAGCTGAGTGGGTGTCCGTCACCCGTGTAGCTAAGTGGGTGTTGGTCACCCGTGTAACGAAGTAGGGTGTTAGTCATCCGTGTAACTACAAGTTGGTGAAAATAAAGAGTGTGCTACCCGTGAAGTCGTCTCCTGCCGAGTTACTACTTTACATATATATACACCATGCGTTTGTGTGTATATATACACCGTGTGTGTGTATATATACACCGTGTGTGTGTATATATACACCGTGTGTGTGTATATGTACACCGTGTGTGTATATGTACACCGTGTGTGTGTATACACCGTGCGTGTGTGTGTGTGTATACACCGTGCGTGTGTGTGTGTATACACCGTGCGTGTCTGTGTGTATATGTTCACCGTGTGTGTGTATATGTTCACAGTGTGTGTGTATATGTTCACCGTGTGTGTGTATATGTTCACCGTGTGTGTGTTTGTATATGTACACCGTGTGTGTGTTTGTATATGTACACTGTGCGTGTGTGTTTGTATATGTACACCGTGTGTGTGTTTGTATATGTACACTGTGCGTGTGTGTTTGTATATGTACACTGTGCGTGTGTGTTTGTATATGTACACTGTGCGTGTGTGTTTGTATATGTACACTGTGCGTGTGTGTTTGTATATGTACACTGTGCGTGTGTGTTTGTATATGTACACTGTGCGTGTGTGTTTGTATATGTACACCGTGCGTGTGTGTGTAAATGTACACCGTGTGTGTGTGTATACACCGTGCGCGTGTGTAAATCAGGTGCTGCTGGTGCAGGGCTATCTGGCCAAGTCTACGTGGGGTTTCCCCAAGGGGAAGGTGAACGAGGATGAAGCTCCTCACGACTGCGCCGTGCGAGAGGTACCCCAATACACATCGACGCTACTTTGGATGACCACAGTCATCATCATCATCGTTGTGAGCAAAGATCAATTCCATTGCTGTCAACCCATACGGTTTACCCCGTATTCTTGGACATGAAAAGTGAGGTTTCAGGTCCGTATGGCGTACAGCCATTTCAATACGGGCAAAAATAAAATGTCTATTTGTTTGTGTTTCTCCCTTTGTGATGGGACTTTGTAGAATGAACGTTGAGATTTATAAGGGGCACGGGGTGATGGATAAGGTCTGAATTGGTCTGTAATAAGGTAGGGAACTGATAAGGGGTTAAGATGTGTGAAGTCCGCTGCTGGATGAAGACCTTCCAAAGGCGTCGCTATCTCTAAACTAAAACTAAACTTTTTTATTATTATACCAAGGTAAGGCCCCACTGAGCTCTGTAGCTATTTTGTCAGAAGCAAACCTGGCCATCGCAAATGACGATAGCTCAACGAAGTGGGGCTGATATGATCATCGCCGTGTGGAAATTTATAGCAGCGGCAAAATACAGGGAGGGAAGAACCGGAGGACGCGGAGATAAATTTGCACAACCACGAGCAGAGAGAGAGACACAGCAACTCCAAATATACAGCCAGGCGTCAAAGTTGGGATTGAAGCCACAACCTCCTGCATACCTGGCGAGGGAGTTAACATCTCCTAGCCACCATGGCGCCCAGTTCTAGAAAGACACACGCATCAATACTTAACCCCTTATACACTCACATCTCTAGATATGAATACTTTTGTTCACATCTCAATGCTCACGACTACGCACACTTGTATGGGGTGCGGTGGTGTGGCGGTTAGTGCGCTGCACTACAAACCCAGTGACCCGAGTTCGATTCCAGTTCACGGCCAACACCAGTGATGGCGATTATCTCAACCGGTCCTGAGCCTCCCTTAGGTCGACTCAACCCCAAATTAGTCCCCGGTGCGGTGTGTAGTAAACAACGACAGTGGGGAGACAAAGGCGGCCGGGCGTAGTGTTGGCGACCCACCCCTTGTGCTACTAATGCTGCTACTTGTGCTACTGCTGCTCCCACTACTACTTGTGGTACTGCTACTACTTGTTCTACTGCTGCTACTTGTGCTACTGCTGCTACTTGTGCTACTGCTGCTGCCACTACTACTTGTGCTGCTGCCACTACTACTTGTGGTACTGCTACTACTTGTGCTACTGCTGCTACTGCTGCTGCCACTACTACTTGTGGTACTGCTACTACTTGTGCTACTGCTGCTACTTGTGCTACTGCTGCTGCCACTACTATTTGTGCTGCTGCTCCCTCAGTTGAGCGGCTGCACTCAGCCGCCTGCCGCCCTCCGTTGCGTTGCTCAGGTGCTGGAGGAGACCGACTTCGACATCCGCGACCGCATCGACCTGCAGGAGTTCATCGAATTGCGCGTCAACGAGCAGCTGGTGCGCCTCTACATCATCCCCGGGGTGCCCAGGGACACTGTCTTCACCCCGCGCACGCGCAAGGAGATCCGGGTGAGGGACCGGGGAACGAAGCCTGCGGATTGACTGACGGGGCCAGAGAGCTGTAAACTAAATCGTCACCGGCTACTGCAGTTGTTAGATGCATCGCTTGTGCGCTGTGCTGTATTTGTTGGTTTTTTATCCTCTCCCAACGCACGGTTTAGTGCGCTGAATGGATGAACTAAGTGTGGCACGCTTTTGGTTCACGTGACAGAACCTTGACGAATTGGCCGTGTCCGGGTGGTGGTGGGTTTAACGACATACGTTCATATTTTATGCGATCTAACCCCCCCCAAAGAAATAAACCTCTGTTATGGATAATATTGGCCGCGAAATCCTACCTACTACGTGTTAAACTAAAACAATTTTTTGTTTACCAGCTTAAGGCCCACTGAGCATTAGCACAAATTAGTTTTTTTCCCTCCACATTTAGAATCGACATAATTCGTTTAGATTATTTTATTATCTTACTGCTATAAATTTCCGCACGACGACGATGATGAACCCACTTGTGTTGAGCTATGATTTGTGATTGCCAGGCCACTTCTGACATAAAAATCTACATAGCTCAGTGGGCTTTACATGGTACGATAAAAACGAGTTTAGTTGTATTTGTATATACTTCATAAAGTGATTTGTTTCCCTTTCCTAAACGTTGCTCTCCTATCGTGTTTGTGAGTATTGCGTTTGTTGTTGTTGCAACGTTCTGACTCCCGTGCCTACCCCTTACTGGAAATCTGTGAGCAAAGAGCTTTATAGCTGATCGGGTTCCGCCTCCTGCAGTCTATACAAGATTCGGATTCAGGGCAACGTAGCTCTGTCTCAAGGAGGGGGCCTTGGATAACACAGACGATAAGGCTCAACGAAATGACTCATCATCATCATTCCCCCGTGGAAATCAACCAAAGACTGCCAAAAGTGCAGCGGTGTGTCACCCTGCCCAGTATGCGTAGCTCTTCTTTGGCTGCGATCTTCATCGAGCACATTGGGGCATGGTTAACATCAAATGCAATTTCTTTTTTAGGTAATACTCGTTTGTTGTCTTAAAACTATAAACTAAACTATTAACATTCTTTTTTCTATTTTACCAGGTTAAGCCCCACTGAGGTTCATATTCTTAGGTTTTTTCGGTAAAGTCACGTAGGTAAAAAATTAAAATTAATCAAAGTAAAATAAAATAAAAATAAAATAAAAATCACGACGTTTCGGAGGCAACACAAGCTTCTGTCTTCAGGTGGAACCGTCACAGCCCGACAGCTGTATCAAGTAAAATGCTTCAAATCTAGAACCCCACTGAGGTATTAGCTTATTTTTGAGAAGCGACCTGGCTATCACAGATTATAAGTTTAACGGAGTGGCAGATATCATCATCATGTAGACATTTATAGCAGCCAAATACTCTCTAAACGCACGGTGACGTTGATTATAAATGTGGAGGGAAAAACAGGAGGACCCGGAGACATATCCACGCGGCCACAGGGAGAGAAACGTGCAAACTCCAAATATACAGCAGCAGGCATCGTCAGAGGTCGGCATTGAACCCACGACCTCCTGCACACCAGGCGAGGAAGTTAACATCTCCCTAGCCACCGTCACGCCCCAGAGCCTTCAACAGCCCCAGCAGTAGCAGCAGCAGTAGCCATTCCCCTCCTCATCAGTGGTCAGCCACAGTAGCTGTATTACACATGCAGTAATTATGTGGAACCGGTCGTGGGCCTCCCCTAGGTCGATTCAGGCTCAAATGAGTACCTAGTGCGGTGTGGAGTAAATGTCACCACTTACGGAGATGAAGGCGGCCGGTTGTGGTGCAGGCCACCCACTCCCTCGTGTGCCGCAGTGCCGGCCTTCATAGGTGCTGCTACTCGCTACTAACAGCACCTGCCGCTACATGGGGGATCTTTGTCTTTGGGAGAATTATCCACTTTCCTAGGTCTGAAAAATCAGTATAGGTTTTTACCCTTTCTGGAAATAAAACAGGAATTGTGTTAAGATGTTTAAACACCGAATAGATACCCTTTTGCACGGAATCAAGTCTGCATTAACCACACATTACCTGTAGCAAAACATGTAAACAAACATGCTCTGATAATACACGCATCGTCTTTGAAACTGATTGGCCTAAGCCAGAGACAGCCGTCTTTATGGCAAGTGTTCGACCAGAGAACGGCAAAAGGAAAACAGCACAAAAGTAATGCAGGTATCTGAGTGCTTATACCTCTGGTCGAGCGGTTGTATCTATGGGATACTTTTTTGCTAGTAATAAAAAATGATGGAAAAATATGGTGAAAAACCAGTTTATATTTTTCCTGAGCAGCTAGCCACAATTACTCACGGCAGTAACTCAGCCTTGCATCTCTCGCGGCATTTGGTATGAATGAAGTCCCTGATAGACTCTTCCCCCAGAGCATTAAGGTTGTGGGGGGCAGGGGAGAAGGGGAAGCTCGCAGTCGGTTGACTCTTCGACCAGGTCCAGCGTTTGAAGCATGTCCCTCTACAATAGGGGTGGGGAATGTTCGGCCCGCGGGCCATGTAAGGCTCGCGAAATCATTTGGTCTGGCCCTGCCAAGGCCACCGCAGGCGGGACTCGAAATTCAATAAATCTAGGAGAAAACCTGGAAAAGCAGTTGCGAGTAGCAACATCATCAATACCAGCTAACATCACACGCCTCACCAAAGAGAAGCAGTTCCAGCCATCAAATTAGGGGTGAGTTAATGAAATGTTTGACCAAATATAACAGGCAAATTTTTAAGTTGATAATTTTGTATGGCCCGCAAATGTTAAAAATATCCAAATGGCTCTTGGCAGAAAAAAGGTTACCCACCCTTGCTCTACAATCTCAAACTCGCCTGTACGGCGGCGGCGTTTTCTCAAAACTCACTCGGCCGATGGGAACGTTTGCGCGAGTCCACCCAGCTGACTAATACGCATTCAGCGATCTTTCTCACAACCAGCAGCCGGTGAGGTCCACTCGGTTTAACGTTTGTAATCCGAACCCACACGAAAAACCAATGTTAGCCGAAGTAACCTCTTCGTCTAATTCACTTATAAAGTAAAAAAATTAGTAAAATAAGTAACAAAACAAAGTAACAAAAATCAATGAGGTTTGCACAACAAGAGAGAGCTATTTTCACCGCCCAAATACAGAAAAGGTATAATGTTAAACAAAGCCAAGTCGAGGGCGAAACCCGCTCGTAAATGGGACTTCGTTGATTGGCTGAGGGCGTGGCTCAGCCCCCCACTTACGAGCAGCTCTGATTGGCCGAAATTGGCGCAACTGCGTGCACGCATATAACGTTGACACATTAACCGTTGTGTCAACGTTTTGTAAAGTTCAGTCGAAACCAGGGGCGGCGGGTCACTATGTGAGGCGAAACGTTAACCACAAAAACTGTTAAGCGATGATGTCACTGTTAACCGTGGGACTGTAACTTCCCTGACCCCGTGCCCCTACTGGACATCTGTGAACAAAGAGCTTCACAGCTCATCGCATTAATCTCCCTGCAGTCTAAATACAGATTATGACAAAGATTCTGATTCTGACGAATCAGTGACTTCCCTCTCTCTCAATAACCACTACTGCTAAATGATTCATATTTATGGACCGTTAGAAAAAAATGTTTTCTTGAATTTTATTTGTTTTTTTATAGGCGGTATTTAGATCTTAGGGTTAGGGTAGTTTAATCCGGGATAGTTTACCTAACCTATTTTTTTTTTAACATGTAGTAGGGATTTTGCAACTAATATTCATAATTGAGGTTATTTCTTGGTGTTAGATTCTCTAAATATAATGCGTCGTTAAAGCCGCCACCACCACCCGACACAGCCGATCAGTAATAGGGTTTGTCACGTGAACAAAACGCGGCCAATTAGTTTACTAGTTCAGCACGAAACCCGCTGTTGTGTGTTGGAGAGTAAACCCACAGCACACATTTACAATTCGAGTAGCCGTGACGTGTCGGCGGTAATTACAGCAACAACAACCGGCTTCATCAGGCGACAGCCACAGTTGTGGATAATTCGTCCTTCTGTTTTAGTGAAGTTTGTGGGGAGCGCTGGGCACAGCGGTTAGCACTGGGCTATGCTACGAACCCAGCGACCCAAGTTTGATTCCCGATCCTGGTCACCACCACCGGTGACGATTATTTGAACCAGTCCCGGGCCTACCCTAGGCTGACTCGGCTTCAAATGAGTACCTGGTACGGTGTGTAAATGTCGCCCCTGGGTAGACAAAGGTGGCTGGGCGTGGTGCTTGCTTGTCATCTGTAAGATGCACCTCCCATTCTTCCACTCTGGTGGTGGGTGTCCGTCTAGGACCCCATTCAAACCCACAATGGCCTGGTCTCAGCTAGCTGATGAAAGTTGCAAGCAAGAATTTAATCATCGCTTGCAGCTGAGGTTCGCATTGTTCCCCTCCCCCCTCTTCTTGATGCCGAGGGAAAATGAGCGAGGTTTATGACTGGGGCTCATGCAGCTGCAGTGGCTGCTTTGCGTACACGGTCCAAACCTCCCCCGGACCCTGGCTGATGGCGGAGTTGTTGCGGCTGGATGAGAAACAGCGACAGGCCCACTTACACTGTCTACAGAATCCCACGTCGGAAAATGAGGAGGCTTACCACAGCCTTCGCTCAGAGGTTCAGAGAGGCATGCGGCGCTGCAAAGATGGGTGGTAGTCGCGGATTGTTGAGGAGATGGAGTCTTTCTCAGTAGCCTGTGATCACAAATCACTCTAACTCCATAAAAAATACCTTGCAACACCACACCTATCACCATCATGAGGGGAAAGAAAGCTGATCAGATCTCCAACCCCCAGGAACAGGTTTGCATGTCTGAGAATTTCTGTGAGGTTTTGGGGGAGGGGAAATTCCTCAGCCTGGAAAACATCGTGGGGCAAAGTGGGGATGACCCTAGTGAGGCTGCGGTGCCTCAAATATTGGAAGAAGTCACCCCGTGTGAGTGGCTGGCTGAAGTGCCATTTGTTGAGGAATGACAGAAGGTGATCCAGAGTCTGAGACCAGCAAAAGCGGTGGGCAGAGATTATCTCCCAAGCGAATGCTGAGGGAGGGTGGCGTTTGTGGGCAGACTGCCCTACATCACATCATAACAACTCTCTGGAGCACTGGACAGGTTCCGCAGGACTGGAAGGATGCCCTGGTGGTCCCCATCTTTAAGAAGGGGGACCGCACAGACTTTGACAAATACAATGGCATCTCACTCCTCAGTGTGTTGGGAAAGGTACTGGAAAGGATTATTCAACATCGCCTTGCCAGGCACGCTGAGGAGATGCTTGTGGATACCCATTGTAGTTTCAGACCAGGGCGGTCCATCACAGATACCATATTTTCTGTTTGTCTGCTTCAGCAGAGGTGTAGGGAATTCCCACATGACCTACATCTCTGCTTTATTGACCTGGTCCAGACCTATGATACCATCAATAGGCCTGGGATCTGGGTTGTTCTTGGTGCTTTCAGAGGGCCTGAATCTCTGCTCGCAATCATTAAGGACTTTCATGATGGTGGGCAGGCCCAGGTAAAGTTACGTGGCCAGGAGTCCGAGCCATTCCCTGTTAACCTTGGGGTGCGACAGGGATTTCTTCTGGCTCCCACATTATTTAACATATTTTTCGACCACATAGTTCGTGAATCCCTTCTATGGCTGTACCGGAGGAATCTCCATCTGGTACAGATACAATGGGAGGCTAATCGATGCCTGGGTGTAGTCGAGGGATGGCTCCCTCTTGGTCAACCATGTAATGTCTATATTCTTGGGTAAAGTCACATAGATAGGTTCAAAGATAATAACAAAAAATAACAAAAAACTACTGTAGTTTTTTGTTATTTTTACGTGACTTTACGTGACTTTTCCGAAAGACCCAAGAATATGAATTCCTGCAGTCACGAAAGCTTTAAGTCAACATGTCATGTCTGCTGATGATGGTGATTGCTGCTCACTAAGTGGAGGAGTTTGAGGTGCTGCTGCTGAACCTGGAACATGCCACTAAGAGGTGGGGCCTTACCATCAGCCCCTCCAAAACTAAGCACTCCTCCGCCTCAACTCCCCATTGGTGATGGGGCGGTTGTGGAGAGAGTGTAGAGTTTTCCATACCTGGGCAGTGGGCTTATGACCAACTCCGTTTTTACAGCAGAGGTCTCACTCTGAATCAGTCGAGCGGCATATTTTCTTCAGCTGCGTAACGCTGTGTAGAAGCTACCTGGTCTCTCGCCCCACACGAAGCATTGGGTCTTCTTGGCCACGGTCGTGCAGCACGGGCTAGAGAAGAGATGGAGTGATGTGGTGCAAGATGATGTGGAGCTGTGTGGACTTGCCGATGACTGGTACCAGCGGTGTCAAGATCGGCCTCTGTGGAGGAGGCTCGTGAAGGATGCTAATGGGCAGTCAGAGACAGTCGCCCTCCAGCAACAACGGAGAGCAGGGGAGCGACGCTCACAACAACGAGCGAAGCGCTGGGTGGCTAAAACACAGCAAGTTGGCACATTAGGGGGCACAGGTGTTGCATCGGCCAGTCATCTCAGTCAGTCAACCCATGGCACCTGGGTCTGTCCCGTGACCTGTCAGCGGGCATTTGACATTTCACGTGGCCTTGAAGTGCACTTAGCCTGGCACAAGCACCGTGGTGACGTCACCGCCACTTCCTGGCGAATGGTTGTTGTGTGTCTGTGTACGTTTGTCGCATATCTCATCTCATGCGCTACGCTCCGTGTGGTGTCGTCACATCGTGTCTCTCCTCCCTCCCCCTGCTATCCTCTCTCTCTCCCCATACACACGCACACTTATACACGCACACACCGATCCACACTGATACACACTCACACACCGATACGCACACACACACACCGATATATATTTCGCACCGATACACGCAGAGCATCGAGTGGTTCCTCATCGAGGACCTCCCCTCGCACCGGAACGACGTGATGGCCAAGACGCGCATCGGCTTTGGCCCCAACAAGTTCTTCATGACCATCCCCTTCATGAAGTCGGTGCACACGCAGCGCACACACACACACGCAGCGCACACGCACACATACACGCAGGCAGCGCACACGCACGCACACACACGCAGGCAGCGCACACGCACACACACGTTGTACACATTAGCGCAGCACGCACACATAACGCACATGCACGCGTAACACTCACTTGTATATCGTACACGCATAGCACGCATGGATGCATAGCGTGCACACACATAGCACACACACAGAACTTGCACATATAGCACACGCACATGTGTAGCACGCACACACATAGCACACACACACATATACCACACGCGCAAGTATAGCACACACACCTAGCACACACACCTAGCACACACGCAAGTATAGCACACATGCACGTAGCGCACATGTGTATAGCACATATGCACGCATAGCACACACGCATAGCACACACACAAGTAGCGCACACAGACAGCACACACAAACACATAGCACACACGCGTAGGGCACACATAGCACAGACGCACACACAAGCGTAGCAACACAGCACACATGCACTGGTGTTGACGGTGAGCAGAAATTGAACTCGGGGTTGATGGGTTCACAACAGGGCGCGCGTGCCTGTGCTCGCAGCGCGCGAACCACTATGCTACTGCTCCCCACCCACACACGCGCATGCCTGTCAATCCCTTGTCAGTGCCCTACTTTATTTACAGACCAATTCAGACCTTTTTGGTCACCCCGTGTCCCTTATAAATCTCAACGTTCATCCTTCAAAGTCTCATCACAAGGGAGAAACACAAACACATCGACACAAATAAGATGTGTTTGTTTGCCCGTATTGAAACAGCTGTACGCCGTATGGACCTGAAAAGCTCAATTTCCCGTAACAAGAATACGGGTTAAACCGTATGGGTTGACACCTATGCACGTGTAGCAACAGCAAAGACAACAACAACTTCCATTCGCCACTAAGTGGTGGTGACGTCACCATGACGCTTGTGCCAGGCCATGTGTACCTTGAGAGTGTCGAAAGCCCGCTGGCAGGTCACGGGGCTGACCCAGGTGCCACGGGTCGACTGACTGAGATGACTGGCTGATGCACCACCTGTGCCCCCTACTGTGCCAACTTGCTGTGCTTTAGCCACCTGGCGCTCTGCTCGTTGTTGTGAGCGTCGCTCTTCCACCCTCCGTTGTTGTTGGAGGGCGACTGCCTCCAGTAGTGTCCTTCACGAGCCTCCTCTACAGAGGCCGATCTTGACACCGCTGGTACCAGTCATCGGCAAGTCCACTCAGCTCCACGTCCTCCTATACCACATCACTCCATCTCTTCTCTAGCCCGTGCCGCGCCCGTTTAGCCCTCTCGATCCGGCCGAACAAAAGCTATGAGACATCTCCTTTACCAGTGGCAAAATATAGTAATAGGTTTTTACCCTTTCAACTGGTATAAAAACTGACACCTTTATACAAGGCATCATGTTTGCAATAACCACAACACAAGCAGTCAAAATGCAAACAAAAATAAACAACTCTGATAATGATATGCACTGTCCTTTAAGTTGATTGGTCCACACCCGAGACAGCTTTTCTTAGAGCCTAGTCTCCATTGGTGTTGAACCAGATGACGCCAAAAGGCGTACAACTCAAAAACAGTGCACTATCAGAGTATTGAGAGCTCGGGGTAAGCAATTACACTATGATACATCTCCTTTACCAGTGGCAAAATATTTCGTTAAAGTCATGTAGAATGAAATGAATTTAAATAATAATGACGTTTCGATCGCAACACAAGCAACCATCATCAACATCGCGCGTTTCGAGTGTTTGGCTGCTGCTATACATTTCCACACGATGATAAGCTCCCTTTTGAGGTGCTATTGCTTGTGATAGCCAGGGTCGCTTCTGGAAAAGAGCTACATAGCTCAGTGGGGTCTTGCACCTGAGCTAAGTGGTGTGGGTATGCGTAACATGGTGTGTGTGCGCTGCATGTCAATGGTTGGTTGGTAGTGTAGCGGTTAAATTTCGATTTAAAGCTTTCGTGACTGCAGGGATTCATTTTCTTGGTTCTTTCGGTACAGTCACGTAGAAGGGAAATAATAAAATAATAAAAATAAAACAATACAATTCTCACGACGTTTCGATTGCAACACAAGCAATCATCATCAGTCGCTGCCCGTGGTGCTAACGTAAAAAAAAAAGCCACTTTTTTCAAAAAAATTATTGCTGTGGTTTTCACACCTGATGATGATTGCTTGTGTTGCAATCGAAACGTCGTGAGAATTTAATTGTTTTATTTATTTTATTTTATTATTTCCCTTCTACGTGACTTTACCGAAAGAACCAAGCGGATATTACGCTGCGCTACGAACCCAGCGACCCGAGTTCGACTCCCGCTCATGGTCACCAACACCAGTGACGATTATCTGAACCGGTCCTGGACCTTCCCTAGGTCGACTCAGCCTCAAATGAGTAGCTGGTGTTGTGTGTAAGCATCGCCGCTGGAGAGACAAAGGCGGTCGGGTGTGGTGCTGGCCACCCACCCCCTTGTGTGCCGTTCCGGCCTTCATAGGTGCTCGCTAACAGCACTTGCCCCAATAGTCTGTTTAGGCTATACGAGGGATCTTTGTGTGTGTGTATGTGTGTGCATGTGTGTGTGCATGTGTGTGTGTGTGCTCCCCAGGCATCTGCGAGAATGGATCGCTTCTCACTCTCCATCTCCGGCAGACAGCGGTTGGCTCAAGCAGCCCTCACACAGCAGCAGCAGCACCACGTGAGTACACACAGCACCACGTGAGTACACACAGCACCACGTGAGTACACACAGCACCACGTGACGACACAAATCATCACCACGTGACTACACACATCATCACCACGTGGGTACACACAGCACCACGTGGGTACACACAGCAGCACCTCGTGAGTACACATAGCAACACCACGTGACTATACACATCATCACCACGTGAGTACACACAGCACCACGTGAGTACACACAGCAGCACCACGTGAGTACACACAGCATCACCACGTGACTACACACAGCAGCACCACGTGGGTACACACAGCACCACCACGTGAGTACACACAGCAGCACCACGTGACTACACACAGCATCACCACGTGAGTACACACAGCAGCACCACATGAGTACACACAGCAGCACCACGTGAGTACACAGCAGCACCACGTGACTACACACAGCAACACCACGTGGGTACACACAGCATCACCACGTGAGTACACACAGCAGCACCACGTGAGTACACACAGCATCACCACGTGGGTACACACAGCAGCACCACGTGGGTACACACAGCAGCACCACGTGACTACACACAGCAGCACCACGTGGGTACACACAGCAGCACCACGTGACTACACACAGCATCACCACGTGGGTACACACAGCAACACCACGTGACTACACACAGCATCACCACGTGAGTACACACAGCATCACCACGTGGGTACACACAGCAGCACCACGTGGGTACACACAGCAGCACCACGTGACTACACACAGCATCACCACGTGAGTACACACAGCAGCACCACGTGACTACACACAGCAGCACCACGTGGGTACACACAGCAGCACCACGTGACTACACACAGCAGCACCACGTGACTACAAACAGCAGCACCACGTGGGTACACACAGTACCACCACGTGGGTACACACAGCAGCACCACGTGGGTACACACAGCAGCACGACGTGAGTACACACAGCAGCACCTCGTGAGTACACACAGCACCACGTGACTACACACAGCATCAGCAGCAGAATCATGGCATTCAGAATGAGAACCTGTATTTATACTGCAGGAGGAGGAATTCGATGAGCTATAAAGCTCTTTGTTCACAGATGTCCAGTAGGGGATCACTGGGTCAGAACGTTACCACAACAACAAGCACAATGCTCACAATCACAATAGGAGGGTAAAGTATAGGAAACGTAAACAAATCACTTCCATCTAAAATATACAAACACAATTAAACTTTGTTTAAATATTGCCAGGTTTAAATCTCCCACTCGCTATTTAGTGACCAGGCCATCACAAACGATAGCTCAACGAAAGTTGGTGCTTATCGTGGCCATCAATCTATGGTCTGGAGTAGGCGGTGGTGTCTCTGGCGCATTATGAGCCAAAGTTCAGACCTTGTGGTGATATCACCGCCACTCGGTCAATCATGAATGGCGGCGTGTGTGTGTGTCTGTGCAGGGAGCTGTAATGTAGCGGTTAGCGCTACGCCGCGCTACGAACCCGGCAACCCAAGTTCGATTCCCGCTCATGGCCAACACCGGTGATAACGATTATCTGAAGCGGTTCTGGGCCTCCCTAGGTCGACTCAGCCTTAAACTAGTACCTGGTACAGTGGTGTGTAGTAAACGTTGTCACTAGAGGGAGACAAAGGCGGCCGGGTGTGGTTACTGGCCACTCGCCCACCCACCCGCTCGTGCACCACAGTGCTATACGGGGGGAGGGGAATCTTTGTCTCTGTTGTCTTGTTGTGTCCCCACGTCTCTCAGGCGGCAGTGGGAACCCAAGCTGATATCGAAGCAGAGGCAGCAGAGATATTTCATTCAACAAACCCAGAATGAGTTCAACGAGATCCTGAAGGTGAAGGTGAGAGCTCGATGCTCGCGCAGTCGAACGTCTCCGCTGAGCTGATCGGCGCCGGCTGCCTCCGTACGGAGCAAAAGAAGTTCAACGTGCATACATAGACACATACGGGATCTTTTGCCAGTGTCAAAGTATGAAAGATAATAGGTTTCATTACCCTTTCTGGCAATAATAAAACAGGAGTTGTGTGAAGATGTTCAAACACCAAATTAGATACCTTTTGCAAGGCATGAAGGTTGTGACGATAATCATCGTTGAGTTATCGTTTATCGTTGCCCTGTTGTAAATTCTCATCGACAGGGTCAACCCCGACCTCGCAACCAAAATTCACCCATCCACAAAAAGAGACACAGCCAGGTAAGGGCCGCTTGAATCACGGGGTGACGCAGGGAGACACGGGGGAGACACGGGAAGAAACGGGGGGGAGACACGGGGCAGACACGGGGAGACACGGGGGAGAGGCAGGGAGACACGGGGGGGACACGGGGGAGACACGGGGAAACATGGGGGGGACACGGGGGAGACACGGGGGAGACACGAGAGACATGGCAGAGAAACGGTGAGACACGGGGAGACACGGGGAGACACGGGGAGACACGGGGGAGAAACGGGCGACAGCGAGATATACGGGACATAGTGAGACATGGGGAGACACGGGGACACAGTGAGACACGGGCGAGACACGGGACACATCACTAAACTATGTTTATTTGACCAGGTAAGGCCCCACTGAGCTGTCTGGCTCGTTTTCAGAAGCGACCTGGCTCTCACGTAATGATAGCTCAACGAAGTGGGCTTGTCATCTGGTGGAGGGGAAGCACGTCCATGAGGGACGGAGGGAGAGGGAGCTATGGAATCCATCTCGCACGCCATGGCATAGATGGATTGTGACATCACACAGATTGGTGATGGCCTTGGGCAGCCTTCATCCAGCAGTGGATAGATTATGGTTGATGATGATGATGATTGTGAAGCGATGTTGACGTTCTCTCTCTGTGTGTGTTGTATCGTTGATGTTGATGTTCTCTCTCTCTCTGTGTTGTATCGTTGATGTTGATGTTCTCTCTGTGTGTTGTACCGTTGATGTTGATGTTCTCTCTGTGTGTGTGTTGTATCATTGTTGTTGACGTTCTCTCTCTGTGTGTGTGTTGTATCGTTGTTGTTGACGTTCTCTCTCTGTGTGTGTTGTACCGTTGATGTTGATGTTCTCTCTCTGTGTGTGTTGTATCGTTGATGTTGATGCTCTGCTCTTGCTTAGGTTCCTCCGAGGCTTCAGGCGAAGAATTCTTCTAATGTCGCAGCCGCCTCCAGCGTTGGTGAGCCGGACATTAACGACAGCAGACCCTCGATTATTCGGGCTAATAACGGGGAGGACGGCCGCAGATAATTAAAAATTGCGGATAATCCAAAAATGTAATCATTTTCCGCGGACCTCTTAGCCAAAAAACTCTAAAAGAGGTACGCATTATTTCCCCTCTGTCTGGTTCTTTCCATTTTTCTGAACAACAACAACACTTTGTTTTTCTCCTGTTCATCCTGCTACACGTGTGTGTGTGTTCATCCTACGACACGCGTGTGTCCATCCTACACACGCGTGTGTCCATCTGGATCTCTGCGGTATTCAGGAGGTCCGGTGGACCGGCTCTGGCCCCTGCCACCATGAGGGGCGGACAGTCCTCTACTGTGGGCAGGAGACTGCCAAACAACAGAGAATAGATCTTCTAAACAAAAGAATGAAGGGGGAGTGGGAAGCTGTCAGCCCCAGGCTACTTTGGGCTCGTCTTCCCATCAACCAGAGGTGGGGAGTAGTGGTCGTGGTTACTTATGCCCCCACCGAAGATGAACATCAGTGGAGAGATCCAGGCAAGGCCGACGAGTCAGATGCCTTCTATGACCTGTCACAGGTGCGAGCTAAAGTGGCCCCTCGGGATAGTCATCCTGTTGGGTGACTTCAATGCCCAAGTTGGTCATGATGCTGGCACCTGGTCTGGAGTGACTAGAAGGCATGGGCCAGATCAGCTCAATAACAACAGTAGGAGGCTGTTAGACTTTTGTGCAGCCTATGAGCTTGTAATTACCAACACGCTGTTCCAGCATCGGCGCGTCCACACAACATCATGGATGAATGCCGGGTCCAAGCAAGAACATTTACTGGACTACATAGTGACGGAACAGCGGATACGGGCCCATGTCCTTGACACCAGCACCCACCATGGAGTTGATCTGCCCACTGACCGCCGGCTTGTCATATGTAAGATGCGCCTTCCGTTCTTCCGCTCCGGTGGTGGTTGTCAATTCTAGTATGCCATTCAAACCCACAGTGGCCTGGTCTTAGCTAGCTGATGAAAGTTGTAAGCGAGAATTTCGTCATCCATAATCAACGTTTTTGGGTTTAGATCGCGTTATTTATAAATGTGTCGTAACCCTCCACCACCCGACACGGCCAATCAGTAAAAAAAGTGTCACGTTGACAAAAGACAAATTAGTTCACTGCTTTAGCCCACCGGTGTGTTGAAGCGCGAAACCACAACATTTACAATTTGAGTACGACGTTTCGCTGGTAATTGCATCCAGCATCATCGGGCAATTTGTCAACGTGACACTTTTTTTACTGATTGGCCGTGTCGGGTGGTGAAGGGTTACGACACATTTATAAATAACGCGATCTAAACCCAATAACGTTGATTATGAATAATATTGGTCGCGAAAGCCTACGTGTTAAAATTTCGTCATCGCTTGCAGCTGGGGTTGGCATTGTCCCACACTCCTCCTGATGCCAAGGGGAAATGGGCGAGGTTTAGGACTGTGACTCATGCAGCTGCAATGACTGCTTTGGGTACATGGTCCAGACTGCCCTAGAGACCCTGGCTGACAGAGGAGGTGTTCAGGTTGGCTGAGAAAAAGTGAAAGGCCCATTCTCACCGTCTCCAGCATCCCACATCAGAGGCTTACCGCAGCCTTCGTTCGGAGGTTCGGAGAGCTGTGAGGTGCTGGAAGGATGAGTGTTGGTCGCGGGTTTCTGAGGAGATGGAGTCTGCATCATCAGCCTGCGATCACAAATCACTTTTTAACTCCCTCAAAAGTTACTTACAGTGTCACACCTATCATCATCATTAGGAGAAAGAAAGGTGATCCGATCTCCAACCCCCAGGAACAGGTTTACAGATTTGCTGAGTATTTTTGTGAGGTCTTGGAGGAGGGGAAATCCCTAAGCCTGGAAAACATCATGGGGCAAATTGGAGATGACCCTGCTTAGGCTGCTATGCCTCAAATAATGGAAGAAGTAGTCACCCCCTGTGAGTGGCTGGCTAAAGTGCCATCTGTTGAGGAAGTACAGAAGACAATCCAGAGTCTTATATCAGGAAAACCGCCGGGCAGAAATGATCTCTCAAGCAAAATGCTGAGGGAGGGTGTCATTTGTGCTCATAATAATAGTCTGGACCACTGGATGGTTTCCGCAGGATTGGAAGGATGCCCTCGTGGTCCCCCTCTTTAAGAAGGGGGGCCGCACACACTGTAACAACTACAGGGGCATCTCACTCCTCAGTGTGCCGGGAAAGGTTCTGGCAAGGATTATTCAAAATCGCCTTGCCAGTCACGCTGAGGAGAGGCTTGCGGAGGCCCAATGCGGTTTCAGGCCAGCCCCACGAAAACTAAGCATCTGCCTGGGTATTTTGTGCCATCAAACACTCCACCACCACAACTCCCAATTGGTGATGGGGCAGTTGTGGAGAGTGGAGAGTTTTCCATACCTGGGCAGTATGCTCATGACCGGCTCTGATTTGACAGCATAGGTCTCACTCTGAATCAGCCCAGCAGCATTCCACAGGGTGTTTCAAATAGATGGACCCAATTTCAAAGCAGTACTGCTTTGAAATTGGGTCCATCTTTTAAAACACCCTGTATTTTCATCGGTTTCGTAATGCTGTGTGGAAGCTAACCTGGCTTGTCGCTCCACAGGAAGCATCAGGTCTTCTCGGCCATGGTCATGCCCTCCCTTGTCTATGCTTGCAAAACATGGACCCCCCCTAATGGAACATCTTCGCCAGTTAGAAAAATCTAGGCTGGCCTGCCAACGATTCATCCTGGGTTAAACCAGTCTGGATTGTGTGATGAGCTCTCAAAACCCTATTATTATATTTTGGTACTGGAAAAGGAGGTTTAATGATGTAGATGCTCACCCGAGCCATCATTACTTTGATAGTGCATTGTCTTTGAGCTGTACGCCTTTTGGCGTCCTCTGGTTGAGCACCAATTGGGTCGAGGCTCAAAAGAAAGCCGTCCCTTGGTGTGGACCAATCAGTTTCAAGGACAATGCAGATATTATCATAGTATGTTTTTTGTTTGCTTTTTGACTGCAAGTATTGTGGTTAATGCAGACATGAATCCTTGTAAAAAGGTTTCAGTTTTGTTGCCAGAAAAAAGGAGAAAACCCTATTATTATAGCTCTAAAAATCCTTGAAAGTCTCATTGGTGAGCTGCTCTGGCAGGCAAGGCTGCATTGGCTGGGTCATGCAGCCCGCATACCCAGCCACCGCATGCCTAAACAGCTTTTGTTCGGCCGGATAGAGGGGGCTAAACGGGCGCGCAAGAGAAGAGATGGAATTAGGTGGCACAGGAGAATGTAAAGCTTGAGTAGACTTGCCGATGAATAGTACCAGCGGTGTCAAGATCGGCCTCTGTCGAGGAGGCTCATGAAGGACGCTACTTGGCAGTTGGAGGCAGTCGCCCTCCATCAACAGCGGAGAGTAGGGGAACAATGCTCACAACAATGAGCAAAGCGCCGGGTGGCTAAAGCACAGCAAGTTGGCACATTAGGGGGCACAGGTGGTGCATCAGCCAGTCATCACTGTCAGGCAACCTGGATCTGTCCTGCGACCTCCTGCCTTAAAGGGCACATAGCCTGGCACAAGCGCCGTGGTGACATCACCGCCACTTCGGGACGAATGGCGGTTGTTGTGTATGTGTCCATTCTACTACACGTGTGTCTATCCTACACACACGTGTGTGCGTGTGTCCATCCTACTACACGTGTGTGTCAAAATTAGCGGCCAGTTTCGACCTCATCACCGCCCCATCACCGGGTCATCTTCTTTCTACGCACAACCCTTTTTCTCACTGCCTACGTTTATTCAGCCCTTTGGGTCTAGTAATAAAAAGTATTCCTACAGGGTAGATGTAGTCGTAGTGAAAAGTTTGAAAAATAAGAATAGGTGTTACCCTTTCTGGCAATAAAACTAGGAGTTTTGTTAAGATGTGCAAACACCCAAAAGAAACATTTTGCAAGGCATAATCTGCATTAACCATATGCGCTTGAGGCAAAACTTGCATTGCCTTTGTGCTGTTCGCCTTTTGGCGTTCTCTGGTCTGACACCAGTGGTGAGACAAGACCATAAAGAAGGCTGTCTCTGGTGTTTGCCAATCGTTTTCAAAGACAACGCGTACACTATTATCAGAGCATGTTTGTTCGCCTGTTTTGCTACAAGTTATGTGTAGTTAATGCAGACTTGATGCCTTGCAAAAGGGGATCTCATTGGTGTTTAAGCATCTTAACACAACTCCTGTTCTATTGCCATGAAGGGTAATGAAGCCTATTTTGTTTCATAATTATGACATAGATAATAAAAAGTTATTACCACAGAGAAATTCAACTGAAACATGTCCGTGTGTGTGTGTGTGCGCGCGCGGGTTTCTCTCTAAAGACGCAGCTCCGGAACCGTTGCCCTCTGCCTCTTGGAGCTTGACACAGTCCCCGGGCATCCCAGGGAGCCTGCCGATGGCCACCACCACCTCCGCCACAACCACCACCACTGCAGTTGCCACCACCGCGGCACCACCACGCATCTTCTTTTCGTCTAGCATGGCGACGTTCTGCTTCGACTGGGCTCCCGTGATGCACTGCTTCGACTCGTAGCGAGTGATGAAAGGGGAGAGTCAGGAGAGAGGGAGGGGAGAGGAGAGGGACAGGAGAGGAAGGGGAGAGAGAGTGGAGAGAGAGGTGAGGGAGAGTGGAGGGATGGGAGAGAGACAGAGGAGAGGGGGGGGGGGAAGGGAGGGAAGAGATGGGGGGAGAGGATTCCAGCGATCAGCTCGCCACAGTTTCATCGGCATTGGGGTTCCCGTTTTTTACAGCAGCGACAGAAGACGTTTGTTGGCGAAGAGTTTTGGTTTGTTCTTTTCATTCAGCGGTGGCCAAGTCGATGGAAAAATCATTGAGCGCGACGACGATGGTGGCTACGATCGCTGGCCGCCAGGAACCGCAGACAGCGCGACAGACTGTGACGAGACAGAGCTCAGTGGTGTCCGGTTGAAGAAGTGGCCCGAGATCCAATACTCTCCACGTTGACGTCGCAGCGTATAAATGCAACCGCATCTACGGACGCTTCAAGGGAAGAAAACAATATTTGCAGTGTGCACGTTCAAAACAAAGAAGGGCAGCGGAATCTCGGCTATACAAAGTTCAAGAGGAGGAGAATTCCAGACCTTGCGGAGCAGATGCCGAGAAGGAGCGAATCTTATCGGTGAAATAATTTAGTGTGTGTGCGTGTGTACGTTGAACTTCTTTTTGTACCACCGTGCGTAGCCAACCATGCTGATCGGAAGTGCGGGGGGAAGGACAACAAACTGAACACAAAAATCCATTGAGGTTTTTTTGGGTTAGATCGCATAAATATAAATGCATCGTTTAAGCTAGAATTGTCTGTCGCCTGATGATGCTCACTGTTGTAATTACCAGAAAAACGTCACGGTACTCAAATTGTAAATGTTGTCGTGGGTTTTATTCTCCAACACAGCGGTGTGCTGAACTATGAACTAATTGGCATGTTTTGTTTATGTGACAAACCCCTCACTAATTGGCTGTGTCAGGTGGTGGTGGTGGTGGTTTTAACGGCACATTTATAATTACGCGATTCAACTGAACAAACCTCGATTATGGATGAGGTCCGTTTGCCGAATGTGGTTTTTCCCCAACGCGGATATTTTTCCAGAAACTCAACCGCCCCCCCTCCCCCACAAGCATTCGTCGAAGTCTGCCTTGCATTTAGTCGTTCTCTTAAATCTCGTTCATCCAAGCAGTCAATAATTTAATCGACGTTCTGAGTCATAGAAAGAAAGAAAAAAACTTTTTTTTGTACTTGGTGAGGCCACACTGAGCTGTGTGCAGTAGAACCCCTCTTAACGACCACCCCCTTGTGGACGACTGATCGCTTAACGACGCGCCTCCATAGAGCCTCATGTACGGCAGGTTTAACGACCTATTTATATTTATGCCATCAACCCAAAAACTTCAATTGTGGATAATAATATTGGTTGAGAAAGCCTCCCACGGATTAAACTAAAAAATAGATCTAGTGGGGAAACCAGGTTTGGCATTCCTGAGTCTTAAATTATCACACCCTGAGTTTGTTTAACTAATACTACATGATGCCCCCACCCCTTCCCCCCCTTGCCATTTTACTATCCATACGAAAGGAGAAGAATCTTTAATTAAACGATGCCGAGTCACTCTCTGTGTCTCGTGTGTGGACAATCGGTCGGTCAACCCATGGCACCAACTGGGTCTGTCCCGTGACCTGCCAGCGGGCGTTCGACACTTCACGTGGCCTTAAAAAGTGTTCACAGCCTGGCACGCAAGCGCCATGGTGACATCACCGCCGCTTAGTGGCGAATGGTGGCTGTTGTCGAGCACTCCTTTTCAATTACGCTTCAACACAAATAATATGTAATATATTTTTAAAAACTTTTTAAACATGCTTTTTAAAATATATTATTTTGTACTTTTTAGTGTCATCAAATATTCTGTCGAAATTTTATTTTATCCAGAAGTAGATCGATCGTCACATCGTAAACATGAATGTACTGTAGTACAGTAGAACCTCTGGTCACGAACGCTTCTGACCACGACCAAATCGGATTCCAACCAAAAAATTCACAAGAAATTTAATCTGGTCACGAACACAAACTCGAGTGGCGATCAAACACGGCAGCGGCCGATTTCCCCTTCCGCGCCATTTTTTTTGTAAGCGCCAAATTTCCTCTTGTTTCTTTACAAACAACACAAAGCGTAACAGTTATGTATTTCACTTTTGTTATATAAAATTCCTAGTAAGATATTAATTTTGTGAGTGTAGTCATACCCCTCCCTCCTCATTCAAGCCGTAATTTAGAGAGCGAAAGTGCTGAGTACCTAAATCCCTAACATAAGAACCCGTTAATCTCTTCTCGCATCATTCATACGATGATGCGGTGAAGTAAACGTTCATACGATATTACGGCGAATGCTTCCAAAACAATACTGTACCCAAATATTACTTTTACTTTCAATAGAAACATGAATTGCTCATGCGAATATTCTCTCTCTCAGAATCGACCGACTGATGTAGCAGACGAAACAATCATCTTGTTGAACGATTCTAAACCTTGACGCAACAATGTTAGTTTTCTCTGTTGTTCAAGGTTTTCTCAGTGTTATTCTATGTTTTTACATTTAGTTTACTATTACACTATGAATTCTACGGCATAATTAACTATTTTTGTGCTTAAAATCTTTAAAAAACAATATTTATATACAGTTCGTAGGAGTCTGGAACGGATTAATAGTATTTACATACAATCCAATGGGGAAATTAGGTTCGAGTCACGACCAAATCGGGTTGTGACCAAAGTTATGGAACGAATTATGGTCGTGACCAGAGGTTCTACTGTAATGGAACAACTCCACGACTCCAGGAAGTGACCCCAGAAGCTTGCCATAACATAAGGGACCGTGGCCAATTACAGCCAATGTTTGTTGACCGTGGACACTTAAATACAAGCCGAAACATTACATATAAAAAATAATGTTTCAAAATATATTTTTATGTTAGAATATAGTATTGTCACCAGTATGACATAAGTATACCAAGTTTGCAGTCGATACCACATTGGGAAGTGGGTTAAAATTGAGTTACAAGATTTGAGGATACAACAACAACAGAGTGAGTTAAATGAAAGCGGGTAATAATAAAAATGCGTCTACCCCTCTTTTCGCATGGCGGCACTCGCGCCCAACCCATGGTCCCTGACGCTGTCACCAGAACCTTTACAATTTTGAAATCGAGGCATCCGTGTGATTTGACGTCCTCCCAACGGCTTGACGGCCAGATACATTGCTGGGGTCACAAAAAAGATCTCCAAAATCCTGATTAAACACAAGATCCAGGTCCGATTCAACACAGTACATAAAATCCGTGATCTGGTACCGTCTGTAAAAGATTTGGTTCCAGACATACAGTACCCTGGCGTCTACAAACTAAGTTGCCTCTGTGGTAGCAGTTACATTGGGGAAACCAAACGACATGTCTCAGACCGCATCCGTGAACATAAAGCAGACTTGAAACACGGTAGGACAAACACCTCAGCCGTGGCAGATCACTGTTACAACTCAGTGGGCTCACATAACATTGACTTCTCCAAGACAGAGGTTCTCTGCAAGCCATCTGGCTATCATGAGAGATTCGTTCATGAGGCGATCCACATATACAAACACAGAGACAATTTTAACCGAGAAGATGGATTCTGGCTTAGCAATCATTGGAAGGACGTAATAAACCATTTCGGATCTTAACTGATTGGGTTCACGTTTACGGTGACTTTCAGACCGCGTTCCACTCACTGGCATGGTGCAGTGTGCAGAGTAATGTATGGTGTCGTAATTATATAGTAATATATAGCAGTGTGATACACATTAGGGTGGGTAAAATAATACATAGTGTTATATTAAAATGGATAAGGCAGCAACTGCAGCAGCAGCAGCAACTGCAGCAGCAGCAACTGCAGCAGCAGCAGCAACTGCAGCAGCAGCAACTGCAGCAGCAGCAGCAACTGCAGCAGCAGCAGCAACTGCAGCAGCAGCAGAAACTTCAGCAGCAGCAGAAACTGCAGCAACTGCAGCAGCAGTACCTGCAGCTCCCTTTGATGCTGTTAATCCTGCATAATGCACATGCATATGTAGTACTAATCACATTCCTGCATTTCCCATAAATATGCTAAATTCCTCTTGATATGCAAATTCCTTTGTCAAGGCGCCCAGCTTATATATATGCTCCAAGCTCGTGTGCTGTTTCATTCAGACTCTGTCGCCTCGACGGACCTGGTTTTTTCACCTGAGGACGGCTGCTTGCGTTGTGGCCGAAACGTCGTGAGAATTGTTTTATTATGTTTTATTTTTATTATTTTATTACTTCCCTTCTACGTAACTTTACCGAAAGAACCAAGAAGACGTTTTACAATGTTCCATTGTACGTGAGTAGAGATGAGAATCTTAAGCTGTGGCTATCCGTGTGCAGTTAAAACATCGCCCCCTGTGTTTCTGAAAAGAGACCTCATCAGATACAACCATGTTTCGTTGTAACACGCGTTCGTACATTGGGATTTGTGCTGTGATTCTCGTAGTGCCATGCCTGGGGCCATCATCATGAAGGAGGGCGCCACTGTGGTGAATTGACACGGGCTGTGCTAGTTTCACAGTACAGGTTCCAGAGGTCTGTATGTAAGTCAACTTTACTCCTGTCGATTCCAAACATGTACGGCATGTACACTAAACACAAGGAATGGCTTTAAACAATATATCATCTCCTGTAGATGTAGATGCCACTTTATTCACGTTCTGCAGGTAGAGATCCCACTGCTCCTTTAGGTTCTACAGATGTAGATGCCACTGGTTCTTCACGTTCTGCAGATGTAGATGCCACTGGTTCATCACGTTCTGCAGATGTAGATGCCACCGCTTCACGTTCTGCAGATGTAGATTCCACTGGTTCTTTACGTTCTGCAGATGTAGATGCCACTGGTTCTTCACGTTCTGCAGATGTAGATGCCACCGCTTCTTAACGTTCTGCAGATGTAGATTCCACTGGTTCTTCACGTTCTGCAGATGTAGATGCCACTGGTTCTTCACGCTCGGTAGATGTAGATACCACGGGTTCTTCACGCTCTGCAGATGTAGATGCCGCTGCTGCTTCACGTTCTGTAGATGTAGATGCCACTGGTTCTTCACGTTCTGTAGATGTAGATACCACTGGTTCTTCACGTTCTGCAGATGTAGATGCCACTGGTTCTTCACGTTCTGTTAATGTAGATGCCACTGGTTCTTCACGTTCTGCAGATGTAGATGCCGCTGCTTCACGTTCTGCAGATGTAGATGCCGCTGCTTCACGTTCTGCAGATGTAGATGCCATCACCGCTGTCTATTGCACGGCTTTTGAACTCATGACTCTCGGTCCGAACAGGCAACTGGACATACGGGCGACAGGCTTATTCGTGTCTTTGAAAGTTCGAAAGTCGAACATTCGTAAGTAGAGGAGTCTGTACAGTCGATCATCGCGTGGGGCCCGACGTCCACCCCACCGCCATCGCTAGGCAGGTGGGGCGCGACGTCCACCCATTCCGCTCCCTCCTCCACCGCGTCGGTTGTCTCCCGCCGGGCCCCTGTCGACTGAGTGATCAGGCCTCCTACGCTAGCGCCCTCTCTGAGGAACATACTCGTGCTGCTGGCTCGTAGATGGTTCGGGATCGGGTCGTGCGTCGGTTCGGGGGGGGGGGGGGGGGCGGCATGTGCTCGGGAGGACTGGCCACTCCAACCGGGTCAGTGGTCGGAGTTGGTCCACAGGGTGGTCGCCACGACCATGGGGTCGTCGGTCATTGTGGGATCCATCGAATGCTCGTCGACACTGGTGTGTCGGCGACCATTATTTCGGAACTTATTTATCCCCCGGGCGCGCAAATGTTAATTCCCCTGCGATTGCGCAAGCCGCTTGATCCTGCGGCAACGGCTAGAGGGATCCTGTTGGACCCCTCTAATATGGCCGTACAGGGATTGCAACTCGTGGGTGCGCAGACCCTGGTGTCTGCTGATAGGGAACCGTTTATCCAGGTTTTAAACGCCAGGTTGACGACATCTGTCATCTCGCAGGGTATGGTCCTTGCTCACGCATCGCCCGCGCTTTGTGATGCGTGTGTCCTGGGCAGCGTTGAGGCCGGGTCACGTCCGACGCCGCGTTCCGGACCGGATGTCTGCTGGATTGAATCCCTATGCTCAGAAGCGGCAGATTTGTCCGAGTCCCAACGTCGTAAATGAAAGTCTCTTTTACGAGATTTTGCTGATGTCTTTAGTACCGGTAAATTCGCTATTGGCCGCACCACCTTGCCAAGTCATCATATCGACACAGGACGCTGCTCCCGTTCGCCAAAACCCTTACAGGCTGAGTCCTGCAGAAAAGGAACATATTCGGCTGGCCGTTGATGAGATGTTGGCTGCCGACATTTCACCATCCACTAGCTCATGGGGAGCACCTATTGTTCTCATTAAAAAACATGATGGAAGCTTGCGCTTCTATTTGATTTTCGAAAACTAAACAAAATTTCAGTTGCCGATGCATACCCTCTCCCGCGGATGAACGACTCACTAGACACCCTAGCGGGCGCCCAATACTTTTCCACGCTCGACCTTCTGTCAGGGTTTTGGCA